TGAGGAGCAGGCCTTTTGGAATAATGTGCTCTGGGCAGGAAAAGAAAAATCAAAGATAGACTTGTTTGACCTTAGTAACAGGAGACATGTTTGGTGCAGAACAATGATAGCTTTTCAGGACAAGAACCTCAGACCAGCTGTGAAGCATGGCAGTGGAAATGTCATGGTTCGGGTTGTTTCACTTCCTCAGGAATGTGGCAGTTTGCAGCTATTGCGTCAACTGTGAATTCTGCATAATATCAAAGAGCGCTTAAAGATAAAAGGAAGTGATGAAAGCGGACTTTTTAATAGAATAATGATCCTAAGCACACGAGCAAATCCACTAAGGGAGAAAAAGGAGGGTTACAGAGGTTATGACGTGGTGTCAAAAGTCAGTTTAAATCTCACTGAGATGTTGTGAGAGGTTCAGAAAAGGTCTTCTGTGATTTGGCCTCCCAGGAACGGTGTGCTGACCCTCACCACAGAAGCGCCGCCCTTGGTCAGCTGTGCGTGCATCTGTCTTTATGAAGTCGATGACAACCTCCTTTGTTTTCCCCGTGTCTAGGGAAAAGTTGTTGGTCCTACAATATGCTGCTAGCAGGTCCACTGCTTCTCTAAAAGCTGTTTTGTTGTTGTTGCTGAGGAGGTGTGTCATCGGGAAAACTAATGATGCTTGTGAAGCTGGATGATGTAGTGCAGTCGTATGTCAGCGTGAAGCACACAGCGGCGGAGAGGGCTCAGCGTGGTGGTCCTGCAGACGTGGCTGGACTCGCTGTGGTCCACTACACCCGGGACAGGGGAAGGGGGAGATGTTGAGGCCTAGCTGGCTCAGCCTCATAATCAGGTGTCGTGGGAAGATGGTGTTGAAGGTTGAGCTCAAGTCAATTATGTAAGTGTGAATGAAATATTAATGGTGTCTGTGAAGACATTTTACCGCTGTGCAGTGCAGACCCTGAAGGCAAGGCCCAGGATTGTGGCTGGTCCTGCTGCTTTGTGAGGGTCGACCCAGGGGTTGGTCTTCCTCACACTGTATGCACTCACATGCAGAACCTGGTCATCTTGAGGCACAATGGTCTTCAGCATTTTCTCAGTCTGTCAGTGGTGTTGCAAGTCTGTGGTTTTGCTTTATAGTCTGCGACGGCCCGATGCCCTTCATCAAGCTCCGTCTCTTTCTGTTGGCTGTCGATTCTCTGTGCACGACTCATGTGACAGGTTAGATCTTGCTGCTTTAACGGCTGCCTTCTCACCAGCATGGAACCTCAGCAACATCCTCTGTCTGGACCGACTTTAATAACTTGAGTCTTTCATGTTACCTGCTTCATGTGAGGTTCGTTGCATTTTATGGCAACCAAAACGTGGAAAACACAAAAATGTGAGACAGTTACTATTTAATAAATTTATCATTGTTTCCCTGCCAGTTTTCCTCGAAACCAGTTTTTGGTTTCTGTTTAGTGCTTGCCATAGACTGGCTGTGAATAGCTTCCAGCTCCGTCTCTGCTTGTCAGCAGGAGTCAATGTGCACAGACATGCAGACCGCCTCAGGCTATCGGTTACAACCCCGCTGTCTCCCTGTGAACCTGCACTCTGCTGTTTTATGGCGTTTTGTATGTACTCCATAGCGGTTAATTTCCATTTTCACATCATTTGCACAAAACACAGTTTTAATCCACTCTTACTGTTTACTGAAACTCATCTCTTTTATGAGCGTCCTGCTCTGGTTGCAGCTCTCTCAGTGAGAATTTAGGTGTGATTCGCAAATACTCTCTCCCAGCAGGAATTGGTGCAGACTGAAGGTGCATTTGTTTTCCTTCGGTATATTTTCTCATGTGTTTGCCACTTCTTTTGTCTCATGTCTTCCAGGGAGTAAAAGCTGGGAGCACAATAGTCCTTGTCTGGGCCTTGACAATAGCCATAATGAATGGGAGTGAGGGAGGAGGGAGGGGTGGAGAGAGAGGCAGAAAAGGGGCTACAGGAAGCTCTCTTCACAGCAGACTGTCATTTTTTTTGATGTCACATTTCATAAAGCCCTTTGTTTCCAATTTATTTACCTAGTGAAAGGACTCAAGGGGTCACCAGCTGCTTTCTTTTCCTCCAGCAGGTGTAAAGTGGATGCTGAACAGCTTTAGTTCACATAAATTGATGCTTAAAGCAGATTATAAATCCTCAGAGGACAAGTGTGGCGAAGCTTTGCCGACGCAGGCAAGGGAAGCAGCGCGGCATCGGCCCGGTTAAACAGGAGGGAGGGGTGGGATGTCACTTGTTGCCCCCTCTCCTATTGGGGGAGAAAGTGGGTGAGAGGTTGAGGGGGTGTTCGGGGAGGGGAGAGGAGAGATTTATTCACTGAGGTGAATTCCTTTCCTGGTAGAAGATGAAGTGGTTTGCTGGAGGGGGGGAAATTTTAGGGAGGAGTCTCGTCTTGTAGTTCACGTGTGAGTGAGCACTGCTGGAGTTTGTTTTGAGGCCATAGATCATTCTCAAGTTGCCTTTTTCTCCTCCTCGCCGCTTCTCCCTGATTCATTCAGTTTTGATATGAACAATAAAGTGTCTGGCAGGGAATCATGAGGGGTGGACTTTGCTGGTCCTCCCCTCTCGCCCCATCTCACCACCAGCTCCTGCTGCTACTGTACTCACCCCGAGTCTCTCCCCCCCCCTCCCCCTCTCCCTCCCTGTCGGATGAAAGAGGCATAACATGACTGAGAGTAACCTCGCTGCCTGCTTCTGTTAAGCCAGTCATTATTACTTCCTGGTGTCTCTCCTCTCCCCCTCCACCCCCTCACCCACCAGCCTTCCCTGTATGGAGCCCAAACCTTTTCTTCTCTTGTTCTTTCTCTGAGTGGTGCCAAGCCTGTGGCCCAGTGTGGTTCAGCCTTTTAACCAGTCTCTACAGGCTGGGATATACAGTTTCACAAGCTATATTCTCTTAGTATTGTTGCATTATATATATTTAGGATAAATGAACAAAGTGCACCGAGAGACGATTATGCCTCGAAACCGCAAGACCTGCCAGCGGGCTTGAAACGCATGTTGTCTTTTAAAGATCATTTATCAGCTGGAAAGTGTAAAAACAGAAGGGGTCATTTTTTACCTCTCCAACTTTCCTGGAACTACTTGTGTATGACATATATAACCACATCTAAGCTTAAATTGTAATATTTAATCAAAATCACCTTATTCTACATGTTAAATAAAAACCTCAAAAAATAAACCATTTGTGACGAAATTGTGTAAAAAAAAACCAACAAAAAAAAACAAGTATTCAGGGACTTTTCGACTGAACTGCAGGCTGTGTTTACACAGAGTAGATTAGAGACAAGTATGCAAACAAATTTAAAGCCTACATATGAAAAAATATCTATAGCACTTTAGAGTCAACACTGCCATTTCTAGCATTGATACAACTGTGGGCACTGGGAAAAAGGTTCTTTTCATCCATCCATCCATCCATCCATCCATCCATCCATCCGTCCGTCCATCCATCCATTATCTATGTACACGTTATCTATACAGGTCACCAGTCTATCACAGGGCTACACTTAGAGACAGACAAACAAGCACACTCACATTCACACCTACGGACAATTTAGAATCACCAATTAACCTCAACATGTTTTTAGACTGTGTGGAAGGAAGCTGGAGAACCTGGAGAGAACCTACGCTGCACGGGGAGAACATGCAAACTCCACACAGAAAGTTTCTTTTTCAATTTAAGTAAAATAAATGATTTTTTGTTTCACTGTGTCATACTGCACAGAAGACACTTTTGATTTCTCCCTTCTTCTAGCCATGGTTGAGAGGTGCAAGACTTTCTTTCTGTAGTGAAAAATGTGACAGGAACAAGAAACGCTGTTGGGTGTGGAGGTCGAGCCTTGGTATAATCCCTTATGGACAGCTTTGGACACCACAGATGCAGACTCGCTCTTATTATACTACTTTCTAGTCCACTTGGAGGATGTATTCCATATATGTGCAGGAGATCAGCAGCTATATATTCCAGTGCAGGCACAGTTGGTGCCCTTGTCGAATAGAGGCTGGCTGTGCAGGCACAAAGAAATAAAAGGTTCACAGGCAACTGCACAGAACCTTGACTACAACTTGTGCTGATGAAATCAACATCACTTGCACGAGCAGACCCTCGAATAGTCGCAAATGCAGAAATGATAAAACAAGCCTCAGAAAGAAGTGAGAATGTCTGGGAAAAAAAGCACAATATCGTTGATTCTTGTCCATTGTCCATCCTGAATATGTTATATTAAAAAAAAAGCAATTATAAATCATATAAGCCTTGTTTGTTTTCCAGCATTGATCAAATGGGATTAAAGTTTACTCTAAGGAACAGAAAAATGTATCAACAATTAAATAACTTGTAGTGAAGATAAATCACTCATTCCTTTATTACATTTGCTCCATTTATAGTGCACTTCTTGGTTTGAGAGAAATCTTTATTTTTTACAAACAATAGTATGTTGAAGTGAAGGTCAATCAACAAGTTGATCGACAGAAATTTAATCATCTGCAGTTTTGATCAAAAGGTTTATGAAGCAAATGTGAGAATTTAGTGGGGTTTTTTTTCTCTTTAATTTATTAATGTTAAATTGATCGTCTTCGGAATTTGGACTGTTAAAGAAGAAAATGAGCAATTTGAAGATGCCGACGTACGCTTTGGGCATTTTTGTAATTACCTTGGCAACTTTACACCCACTAAACAATTAAATGAAAAGAAGAATCAACAGATTAATCATTAATGAAAATAAACATTCCTTCAGCATCAAAAGAGATAAAAAGGTTTGAAGACTACAAAGTCCCACATCAATTTTTACATAAAATGCCAGGTGTATAATACAGACACAATAGAAAACACTACTAAAAGGCTTTGTTTTTAGCCTGATACATGTTTATTGGTGTGGTGCTTCCTGCTTTTAAAAAAAATTGCAGTTAAACATTTCTTTTATGCACCGTATAATTTTCTTCTTCTCACTGGCTGTTCTTGTTTTCATTCTTTAATTCTCGCCTTCTTCTCCCAGCTATGCATTTCCAGGAGTGGTTACGGTCACTTCGCTCCAGCTCAGGACTTAAAGGATCTGAATCGGAGGACTTCTGGAGTCTCCTGCCGTCTCTGCCTCTGTCCTCCTTGTCCCTGTCCTCCCTGTCTCTGTCTCCGTCCTCTCTGCTGGGTCTAGGAGCTCTGGCCTCCCTCACCGCATACTGGCTGGTGACCCGTCCTCGACCCATGCGTCCTCCCTGTGATCTGCAGGCCCAGTCTGTTGCTGTCAACGTGAGTGAACCTTGTTGCTGTCTGCGTCACAATATTCAGAGTTGTGTAAATGGAATACATGATCGTGGGAGCTGGTGAGACTGTCACTGATGGCAGTGTTTGTTGCAGGGAGATCCCTGCTGCAGGCGATCGGCTCTTCTTAAAGATGACTCTCTGCTGGAGTTTTACTACGACGACACCAGGACGGCCTATGACATGTTCCAGAGAGGCCTGAGGATCGCAGGTGATTGCAAAGACACATTTAATTAAAACCCACAATGTGAAACTTTTGTCTCCCTCTTCTGGCTGTGAGAGTAAACACATGGTATGCTGCTGCCGTTGATTGCTTTATCTTCTAGACTACAATCCTTCATGTGAATGCTGAGTTTCTTTATCTGGAGAATCAGAAACTTTACTCGCACGCTTTCTAGGTTTTTCAACCAAGCTCGTGATTGTAGTAGCCTGCATCATCTCCATCACTACAGTTGTTCACTTCTTCCGCTCTGGCAAACCAGTCATCGCTGATTCACATGAATTGCATTGCTACCGGCTCAGCAGCACAGAAATCAGATTTAAAACTCAATTATAATGATAGACTTAATCAGAATTGTGATCCGCACGAGCGTTAAACATTTTCCTCAACTTTATTGTGTAATCATATTTAAGGAGAGAACAAACAAAAAAAAGACTAATCAGTTTGATGTTCTTTTGTGAAAACCCTTTTAAATCCACAAAGGCTGCTTTGCTTCAACTTCAGTTTAAGGATTTCATTATATTCTCACGATGGAGACAAACATTGATGCCCTTTAATCTCATGAAAGGAAATCCAGCCCTACGGCATCAACACAAAAACGCAGTCTAGTTAGTAAAGGAAAAACATTTTTTTCTATGTTCTGGCCAATGCTGGCATTTTTTTGTAACAGCACTGATGTACAGTTGGAATGAAAGAAATGATATAAAAAACCACCAGAAATAGTGGGTTTTGTAACCTCTGGTGTAATGGCGTCAAAAGCCTAATCACCGTAAAACCAGAGAGATAACAGGAATACGCAGGGATGCATGATGATGTCAATATAAAAGCTATAAAAGCTTTAAAGGTCCAATATTGTGTCACATGTTCCCAGAATGTGTCTCTCAACTGTTCAGCTCAAAATACTGCAAAGATGTCTCATTTTACCATGACTGTCTCTAGTTTTAAATGCAACTTAGCTGGTGCTGCTGTCCACGTACCCCTTCAGGAAGAGGACTGTGTCTGTGAATGACAATGTGGAGCAAAACTACTGAATGCACAGACGTGAATGAGTGTGTGAGACGAGGACTTTCTGCTTTTTCTAACTTTACTCTCTGAGCGATCATTCTGCATGGGAACGTCGCTGAATTCACAGCATGGCTCAACTCATTTGTTTGTGGAGTTTGTCAATCAAAGTAATAAAATCAGTTGTTTAACGGTGCAGAGCAGCAGCTGGGGAAATGGCTCGGAAGTGACTGCTTGTTAAAATGTTGTCCTGATGGGTTACGTTTCAGTCATTACTTCAGCCTCTTTTATTTGTCTAGCAACAGGAACAGGAAAACATGCCAATGAGAACCGTTTTACTGGGAATTCAGCTGTATTAACAAACAGTATATGTGAGTCCAGTGAGCAGGAACAAACAGATGTAGGCACTGGCTGAGTTTAGGTTAGTGTTAACTCTAATTAGCTTCCTGTTGTTGTTGTGACAAAGACATCAATAATAAGAAATAATCTACTGGGTCTTAAATTCCTCAAATACTGGGGGTTCATGAAGACTCTTGTGTTCACTCTTGCAGCCAACAGCAGAACTATTGTTGTGCTTTGTGGTTGACTCATTCTAGAGTTAGCAGAAGCAGCTGTAGTCAGTAAAGTTGGTGAAGCAGCTCCAAATGCCAAATGGCTCACCTTGGAAGCAGTGAAGAGTGATGCAGGAGGACCAAAAGTTTGAGCCGGACAACATTTGGTATTTCAGTTGGAGTGTAGCCAACAGCAAAATTCTTACTGGCTTGTAAAGCTGCAATGTTTTTTAGTTGTGTAGTTGCGGAGACACTTTAAGAAGGGCAGCAGTAAACGTCTTCGTGTCTTAACAGCTTTTATTTTACACTTCCCAGTTAGAGCAACCACAAAACACAATAAAAATAGATTTCGATCATATGGGACCCTTGAAAATGAAATTCTGGCATCGACACCAGAATGAACACTGACTCAGTGTTAAGAAATGTTACATAAAAATGCTTATGGCACATTTTATATTTAAAGTAAAGCAGTTTGTTTTATTCTGCCTAAAATAAACAAGTATTTTTGAAAAGCATTCTGTTGTACGTCTGCACCTGCCAGTGTGTTTTCATGGTAAAAGTAGGCATAATAATATGTTCATTCCACTACAGGAGAGACTCGATGTTCTCTACAATTAGGTGGAAAATTTCTGTGGATATTCTGGCACCAGCAATCGACCAAAATGAGTAGAAAAATGCTGGCATATCAGATGATATCCAGTATCATGTGTACCTACTTTTGCATGTTTTGGTCTCACTAATGCAAAAATAAAGACTATCAATGTTGCACATGTTGTTTCAGGAAATGGCCCGTGTCTTGGCTTCAGGAAGCCCGGCCAGCCCTACCAGTGGATCTCCTACGCTGAGGTCAGGCATATTTGCACTATTTGATCCTCCAGGTCATCTCAGCACTTCTGTGTGCTCTGTTAATCTTTACTGTTTGCTGACTGAGCCTCTCCAATCCTTCAGGTGGCTCAGCAGGCACATGTCCTGGGCTCTGGGCTTCTGGCTAAAGGCTGCCAGCCGAACGCGCAGCAATTCGTTGGTATATTTGCACAAAACAGGCCAGAGGTATGGACTCATCGCTGCTCAGTGGTGTGATGTTTGTGGTTAATTACCTGTGAGGATTTGTTCGATGCCTTTTTAGGACACGAGCGCTTCTGTTCTCTAATTAGGGTTGTTGATCCTTAAACCTCTAAACAGCCCTACAGCTAAAAACGTTATTTTCCCTGCGTAGAACTTAATATATTACCATACACACATCTACATAAAAGTTTGCGCCCTCGGAGTGCAGGATTGCATTTTATATGAATTTTGAAGATTAGAATATGATTGCTTTTCTGTCTGTGCTGAGAATGTGTTTGCCTTTATTTATATTGAGAGCAACGTGCTGCTGGTGAATGTGGGTCTCCAGGGCAACTTAAAATTGGAGCATGTCTGCTCCCAAACTCATTTTTTAAATTTGTATATCCGTTAGCGAGGCCATTTCTGTCATTTCTGTGTAGACTGAAAGTGAAAGATAATTTTCTGCTCCATCAGAGCTCTTAACCTCTCATTAGACCAATCTACACTCTGAGTGTTGCCTGCTTGGAATAAAGTCGTTTTTTTATTTGTTGCTTTGCAAATAGGGAATGCATGGTAAAGTAATTCATTATGTATAACCTCCTGATGTTAGATATCTTAACTCCAGCGCACAGTAGCGGATGAAGACAGCAAAGAGTGTAACGGTGCTGCTTTGTCTCCCTCTGCTGGTGACAGTGGATGATCTCAGAGCTGGCCTGCTACACCTACTCCATGGCGGTGGTGCCTCTGTACGACACTCTGGGGCTCGAGGCAATGGTCCATATCCTCAACCTAGGTGAGAAAACCTGCACCTGGACATAACAAAAACACAGGTCGCTCCAAAAATCAATTAAATCTCCCAAATCAAATATCACCGAACTATCATGAGCAGTGAGATTTCAACTTGACTTTTTTTCTGGAGTCATGCAAACTGCATCAATTCCAATAAAGAAAGGGTTAAGAGAAAAAGGGAGGTGATTGTGTTGAAAATAGCAGCAAAATAAGTCATCACAACCTTTATCCAGATATCAAATGTAAAAACACTACAAAGGCATGCTTTAATTATCATTATTAGTGAAAGACTGAATAATTCCTACCTCTCTGGGCCTCTCTTAAGCAGTTATTTGAATGAAGCCATCCGAGCAGTTTAAAACAGCATGACTCTTTGGGGGGAATACTAACTTTAAATATGTGGAACCTTCCTGGAGGCGCTTTGTAGATAGAGCTTTTACTAAACGGTCCGAAAAACAAGAGGAGAAAGGTTATTTGTTCTTTTCATGTGTAAAATCTTAATCTGCAGAGTAACCATCAAAAGGATGATTACTATAAAGTCAAAATGCAACCTTTTAGCAACATTTGAAAGGGCTTTACATAAGAAAAGGCATCAAGATAAGACATAAAAGAAACGGAGCGATATGCTGACAGGTGACGGATTAAAGGAAGAACCTGAGCTGACCCGTACAGTGAGGGGATCTAGTGGATCTGTTATGCTATGGGGGGGGGGTTTGGTGGCGTGCCTTCATCCATCACGTACGAGAAGTCACTCAATGGTTTGAGGATTATGAAATTTCCGTAAATCATATGCTGCGGCCTTTACAGTCACCAGATCCCAACCTAGTTAACCACCTCTGGGACATTTTGCTCCCTACCATCACCGTCATCAAAACACCCGAATGAGGGAATGAATGAAAGAATGGGGTTCAGTTCCTTCAATAGAACTCCAGAGACTTGGAGAATCAATGCCAAGGCTCATTGCAGCTGTTCAGGTGGTTTGTGGTGGCCCAAAACCCTGCAAAGACAGTGTCTGTTGGATTTTCCTTTAATTTGTCACTCATCTGTGAATAGGATAGATTAAACAGTGCTGCCGCAATGCAGTGCAATATATGACTTTAATTGAAGTAAAAGTTCTTCAAAAACTAAATCTACTTGCTTATTTTTGAGTGTTTTGGGCCCACGGTGCAGTCATGTGAGTTCAAAACTGTTGAATTTGTTGTACAAGAGGAGTCTGAGAAATGTGTGAATTACTTTTTTTTTTTAATTGTCTATGAGAGAAACAGCCGTCGTAGCCTCATTAGTTCTGAGGGAGGCTCTGTCTGGTGGTCCTTGGGCAGAAAGCTGTGCGGAAAACCACCGATTTCACACTTTGACGAGAACATTCCTTCACAAACCTTCTGTGTCTCGGTGCGTTTTAGCGGAGATCTCTCTGGTGATCTGTGACCGGGAGGAGAAGGCAGCATCTTTGTTAGAGAACAAGGAGAAAGGCACGACTCCCAAGATCTCCTGCCTGGTTCTCTTTGACGATTTCGGCGAAGCCTTGGTGGAGAGGGCGAAGAAGTGCGAGGTGGAGGTTTTGAAACTGGAGCAGCTCATGGTGAGTAGGGTGGAAGCACTAAATCCCCGTAATGCTGACTCACTCCAATTCACCCCCTTTAATCGAGTCATCAATAATGACGTGCAAATTGATATGCGTGTCTCCTCTTTGTCCACATCCTAGGACCTGGGAAGGAAGAACCTCAAAGATCCTGTGGTGAGTTTATCGTCTCTCAGCTGCAACATTACCGCATCAAACTGATTCAAGTAAATAGCTAATCTCCCTCTAAATGCTATCATGACAGCTTTATCGTTGCTGCTGTCCCGTAAGATATCAACACTCAGTTGTAAACAGGGCTTAAATTAAGAGTGGAGGAAGCGCGTTGTCATATTCTCATATTTTATTGCTGCCTGCTGTAGCCGCCCCAGCCTCAGGATCTGGCCGTGGTCTGCTTCACCAGTGGAACCACAGGTATCGTCTGATCTCATAAGTCTCTCCGTAATTATCCTTCGCTCACATCATTAGAGAAATGTCCTTCAGTGCCCACTAACAACCTCTCTTTATGGCACCGCTGTAGTTTCCTTTGCTGTGCAGGGCACTGCAATAATGTCTTGTTTATTTATCCAGGGAAGCCCAAGGGAGCCATGATCACCCACGGCAACATCGCCTCCAACACTTCCTCTGTCATTAAGATCCTGGAGGTCTGTCTACACTTCCACCTCCTTGTCTAATTGAGAACAGCCTCACAGCTACCATCACTTCCCATCTGCTTGCATCTGTGTGTCTCAAAACTGTCCCTCTCCCTGCTGTGTCTAATGGTATGATTAATTGGATGTTTGATTGCCCCTGTCGCTGCAAGGTACTTTAACTAATTGCCCCTGTATGAAGATTCTGCTATCTAACTGCTGTTGATAAAGCCATGCAGCGTGTTTGATTGCCTTCGAGGCTTCTCTGCACGCTGCCGCCTGAACGTAATCTCTCCCTTGTGCTTTGCTCATTTTATTTCTCGTTTTTTTTTTCTCTCAGGGTTCGTTTGTGATCCGACAAGAGGATGTGTCGATCTCTTACCTGCCGCTTGCCCACATGTTTGAGAGGATGATTCAGGTAGTTGATCCTCTTCTCAGAGTTTTTTTTTTTCTTCTTTTTTTCTAGTGTGTGTAAACTAAATCAATAAATTACATCTATTTCTATCACAGGTCTCCATGTTCTGCCACGGGGCCCGAGTAGGCTTCTACCAAGGGGACATTTCTCTTCTCATGGATGACATTAAAACTCTCAAACCTACTTTCTTTCCTGTCGTGCCTCGTTTGCTCAATCGCATCTATGACAAGGTCAGTAAATACTTTTTTTTTTTTTTAGTAGCTGCCTTAACTCTTGGTTGGTTTTCAATGTTTTTGCATGTTTTCTACCATTTGCCATAAAGATCCTGGGCTCTGTGACCTCTCCGTTTCGACGGGCTTTGCTTCACTACGCCGTGAGGAGAAAGCAGGCGGAGCTCAGCAGCGGAGTCGTACGTAACAACAGTCTGTGGGACAAACTGGTGTTCAACAGGATCCAGGTCAGTTGCTGTAATCTCCAGCTGGTCTTCTGCCTGGATCAGACTTTCCCTTGTTGCTGAATTGTTGTTTAACCATTTTCCATTGTACCATCTTATGTAAGTTGCATCTATACTTCTGTCTCTCCAAAACAACACCTACTAAAACCAGCGATCTCTTTAAAAATCAACCCTGCCAAAAAACAAAAACAGTGTTTTTTTGTTTTTTTTTCAGTCATAAGTAACATATTTTGTGTTTTTCCCTGACTTTACCTTTGTCCCTGTCTGTGTTTTGTACTACTGAACACAGTGGTACATGCAGACCAGCAGCCCTGCAAATAGTCAACAAATTTGTATCCAAACTTTACAAGAGAAGCACAACTATTCCAGCAATCAATGCCAAAATCACTCGGAGCATATTGGCCCTGTGGGAGTGTATTGGAGAGGCACGCACACGGGCAAACGAGAACTGAAAGATTTTGGCTTGGTGTGATCAATACAGATGGGAAAATGTGACCGAAGTTGATAATGGTTAAAATGGAAAATAACTTGTATCCGCAGTATGATTGTATTTGAACTATTTTACACAGATACTGCATGTGTTAACTCTGTTTCAGTCCAACTTAGGAGGCAATCTACGGTTCGCCCTGACTGCTTCAGCACCCATCTCCACCACTGTGCTGTCCTTCCTCAGAGCCACTCTGGGCTGCCTGATATTTGAGGGTTATGGCCAGACAGAGTGCACTGCAGGCTGCACTTTCTCTATGCCAGGGGACTGGAGCACAGGTAAGGAACAATCTCATTTTTTTTCCCCTCCTTGATCCTGGTTCCTCCTGTCCTCAGCAGGCGTGTGGATGTGTCTCTGTCAGGTCACGTTGGTGCTCCTTTGCCCTGCGCCATGGTGAAGCTGGTAGACATCCCTGACATGAACTACTACGCAAAGAACGGCGAGGGAGAGGTGGGCTGGTGTAAACATGCAAGTACACACTATATATTACTAAACAGTGTGGACCCTGCTAAAACCTCTCGCTGCTTCATCCTGTTAGATTTGTATTTGGGGCCCCAGCGTGTTCAGAGGCTACCTGAGGGACCCAGAGAGGACAGCTGAGGCCTTGGACAGCGATGGCTGGCTGCACTCTGGGGACGTGGGCCAGTGGCTTCCAGTAAGATTAGACACAATCATTGGCCTGTAGAGGACTCAAATATAATTTACTTTAAGTGAGCAAATATCTCTTTTTACACTTCTCATGTGTCAGAATGGGACACTACGCATCGTTGACAGAAAGAAGCACATCTTCAAGCTGGCACAGGGAGAGTACATCGCTCCAGAGAAGATAGAAAATGTCTACATGCGTTGCATTCCTGTTCTGCAGGTGTTTGTGCACGGAGATAGTTTACAGGTATAACTCATTATACAAACTAATTGCTGTTCAGTAAATCTGGATGCAAAATATGTGCCTACGTGCGTGGTAAATATTTACATTTTCTCCTTTATTTCATGTTACCAGTCTTATCTCATAGGCATAGTTGTGCCTGATCCTGAGGTGTTTGTGGACTGGGCTAAAGATCGGGGATTTGTGGGGTCCCACGAGGAGCTGTGCCAAAATCCTGTATGTCAAATTCCTCATTTTGAAACAACACTTGTATATAATTGTTAAAAATGACTTTGAAATAGATTTTTTAAAAATGGTTGTTTGTCTTCAGGATGTAAAGAATGCAGTATTAGAGGACATGAAAACCGTGGGGAAGGAGGCAGGACTGAAGTCCTTTGAACAAGTGAGCAATCTCTGCCAACGCTGATCTCGGTTCAGATTTACAAGCTCTTATGTGGCTGACAGTAACTTTGTTCTTTAATTTTGGGTCTCATCTTTGTATCGTTTCAGGTAAAGGACCTTTACTTGCATCCGGAGACGTTCACTGTCGCCAACGGCCTTCTCACGCCCACCTTGAAGAGCAGGCGTACCGACATCCGTAGAGTGTTTCAGGAACAGATATCAAGCATGTACAGCAAGACACCAATTTAACTCCACTCAGTAATTTTACACACCCGAATGTCACTGGTGTCCTGTATGAGAAAGAAATGGAACTTGGGAGAGGAAATTAAACACCCTGAAGTGCCTCGTCTAAAATCTGCAACTGAATATATTTTGGAATATTGCCATTTTGGTTTAAGGAAATTTTTAACTCGTGTCTACCTGTGACCAACTCTGACACATACACTGAACAGCCACAATATTAAAACCACCTGCCTGAGATTGTTTAGGTCGCCAACACAGCTCAGACCTGTCGAGGCCTGGACTTCACAGACATTGGAAGCAGATCCTTTGGGTCCTAAAGTCACACCCACAGATGCTTGACTGGATTGAGATCTGAAGAATTTGGAGGTTAAGTTTAATACCTTAAACTTTGTCATGTTCCTCAAACCACTGATGAACAGTGTTTGTGATGTTGCAGTTTCCTAGAAGAGGGTGAGCGTGGGCACTCTGACCAGTCTGTGGCTACGCTGTTAGCTGTGATGTGTCTGTGTTCTGACAGCCTTGTATCATAGTCTGAACTAAGGTTTTTAGAAACGTGTGCTACACTAGCTCTTCTGTGGAATCGGACCATGTGAGCCTTATCACCAGTTTACTGGTTGACCTTCCTGGGACCACTTAGACCCACTGCATACTGGGAGCATCTGGCCCTATCTCAAATTCCTTTGCTTCCCATTTTTTCTAGCTTCCAATGCATAAACTTTAACAAGTGATCATTAGTCTGCTGCCTGATATATTCCACTCCTTGATCAGTGCCATTGCAACAAGAAAATCAATGTTCATCACTTCTCCGGTCAGTTGGTTTAATGTTGTGGCTGATCAGTGTTTATGTAATGTTAACTCGTCACATAAAAATTAAGTGGATGGGTCCAAACCATTTTAATTTCTGTTCCACTGTTGTCCTCCTCACTAATTCAACACTGGAATTCACTGGAGGTTTTAAGGGAGCATAAATTATTGTTTAGTTGTAGAGTGGAGAATCACAGAAGGTACTAGGAAGCCACTTGCAGAGGCATAAATGTAGATACTTTATTTACACTGCACTGTTATTTTCCCAAGTGAAGATTTTTAAAGGGACTCCGTTACACGTACTTGGGATGTCGTTTCTCATGTGAGTTGCATTAACTGTAGGTTTTTATATTTCAGCTGTTGGATCCTTGTATCACCATGACATAAGCTTTTTATGGACATGCTAGCTCTTGGATCACATGATTTACCTAACTGGTTCTGAGGCATTTCATGAACTACTTCACTTGAAATTAAACTATTAAGAATAGCAAGTGTTTCAACCTGCAGTGATTTGGGGAGAGAAAAGTTCAACTGTAAATACTGCTTATTTTACGATTTGTCAACAGGATGCTACTGACTAATTCCAGTGAAGTTAAAGAACAGAAATAAAGATTAATAACGGATGACTTTTTTTTGCATGATTCTATTCACGAAACACTTTTACTCCTGTTTGAGCAAAGACTCGACTCCTGCAGTCACCTGGAGGAATATAGTGGATCTTAAATTTAAATTCATCAAACCAACAAAATCAAAAAAGGGCACTGGTTGCTGTTCTCGCAGTTTATTGACTTCATGATTGACTTCACCTTGAGAACACAGCTGAAAACATTGTCATTTGATAGATACATTTAAAAACCCACTCTAATGCTAAAGTATTCACTTAGTTGTGTTAAAAAAAAAAGAAGAAAAAAAGGAATCAACCATTACTACATTTTAAAGTCTTGTTTAGAAAAGCACCTTCATTAATACAGTTAATTACATGTAACTCATTCTGCATTGCAGAACACAACACAAAGACAGGCAATAGACTAAGCACTTTCTTCAAATATTTCCATATCAAAAAGATCAAAGAATAAATAGCTGTGTTGTCGGTATGACGCCTTACAATAAGTCCACTAATGTGACATGGGAACAATCAGTGTGTGTACATTACCATGCAGTGTGTGCATCATACTGAGGATCTACCTGATGGAAGGTGGAAACAAAGGAGTGCAATGACAGTATGATTTGGTCCAAAATCAAGGGAAGCCAAAAAAAAATAATTTCCAACCCTGGTGCTGAGGGTTCACAGGAAGGACTTTGTAGAGTGCCAACAATGTGTGAGGTTCTTTGCTAACACACACTCAAACCAACAATAGAACAAAGGATGGATGGTGTGAACAAAAGGAAAGCACGTGTCATAATCAGTATTACCCACTAGAGGGAGCACCAGCCTTTGTTTTTTTTTCTGAGACAGCAACTGGTTATCTCTGCAGCCTGAGTGGTCGACCTTGCAACACCGCTGCACAGGCATAGTCTCACTTCACACAAGTTAGTTTTCATGTTACATCCAAAGTCGAGACAAGGCAGGCACATTATGCACATGTGATGCTACAAATATCATCTTTAAGTCCCAATAAAAAGCCCTCACACAGCATGGCACAGAGCTTAACTTCAAGATAACCAGAAAAAAGGCCAAAATACATTTTTTTGCCGATGACCTACAGTACGTTACATGACATTCAGTCTGTAGGGTTTGTAACGTCAAAGTTGGGTGATAAAAACTACGTTTCACAGATTGTTGGTAACACAGCAGATGTGACTAATAAAAGCATTTCCTTGCCGACTTCCTACTTTAGGAACAAATGCTTATAGATATCTCTGAAACCACGAAGTGTAACCCTGTTAATTAGTTCAGACGAGATCTGTTTGATTTCTTTGCTAAAAAAAAAGACAACATATTGGCTTATAATGTTGCACTTGGCTGATGGCTTAGTTAATGTGGCATTCAGCTGCTTTGAGCTGCAGAGCGTCTTTATAGAGAGAATGAAAGATTAGGGTGTAGTGCAAGAGGAATGGGGGGGTGATGAGGCCGCAAGGAAACAAACTGATAATCAGGTTAAGGCCATTGCTGTCCGTTTGAACTCCGGAGGAGCTTGAGTGCAGTCCATTCAGAGAAGCATGAAAAGAGCCCTTCCCGATTTTCAGCTTTCCTCCCTCAGTCGTCGGCGACAATGGACAGAGCACGCAACTCGCTGAGCTTGGCCTCGGTCTCCCTCTCCCTCTGCTCGTCAGTCAGCCCTGCCTGGTCGATCTGGTCTGTTAACTCGCTGAAGATCTTGTACATTTCAGTGAAATAGACCACCTGGTGGGCAGGAAAGAAAAAAATAAAGACTTAGTCTGGGAAAGCAGATTAAAAAAAAAAAAAATCCTGTCTGTCCTCTGACAAAAACTGGACAGAGTCAATCCTCAGACCTTTTCTAGATGCCTCTTAGGAAAAAACTCCAAATTCATATCCAAACTCTGCTCCACTCACACAATCTAATCTTGCTTTTACTTACACAAGTCTGAAGCTGCTTGTCTCAACCCTGCTAATGAGAAGTGATTTGAGAGGAGAAGAGGGAGCCCACAGATATCAAACAACTCTGACAAAGCCCCAAAACCCAGCACTTCAGTGGGTAGTGACCCTGCTTTTCTCTCCCAATCTGAACAAGAGATAGAGAGTGTTCACTGAAAGCTTTCTTGACACTTCCCACCCCTGCTTCTTCCCCTTAGTTCATGAGTCAGGCTCCCTAGAGAGTTGCTTTGATGATTAATAGACTTTAATCACATTACAAGACTCCAGAAGAGTGGGCTGAGAATGAAAGTACTGGGAAATACAACCCCTTAAAACCCACACACACATCTCAATATTTATTCATGTAGCAATGCATATGATGCCATGCTCTTAAGGGGGCATCGCTGGTGTCTCGGAAATTTCATGTGTGTTCAACTGCAGGCCGAAGCAGTAAGACCAACCGAGATACCAGTGGGAGAAAAAAAATACTTATTCACTTACAGGGTCACAATAGAGCAAGGATTACTTGAAGACTTATAACCCTGTCATAAGTGGCCTGGACACTGTCAGCCAAAAGGAAAAAAAAACCCTCAAGTTTCTACACCACCTTGTACAAGCCTTTTTCAGTTCTCAGTCTTTGCATGTTTATACCAATATTTGCCACCTAAACCACATGAGTGGGCCATAAGTATTGGGTTACTGCTGTTTGTGGGGGTAAAGCGGATATTTTTTTTTCCAAAAGTGGCTTGTTGAAAGAGCCATCGGAAATGTCCATATGACCAGTGATGATAATGTACACCAGATCAGTGTCTAGGTTCCATCTGCAGCAAAGACTACTATTACAATTAGTCGAGTCACCACGAGGAGTAAACGCAGCCTCACACAGCTTTGGCCACCTACGGTACAAAAAAAAAGGAGCCTTTGGGTAAAACAGAGCTTTAATTTACATGACTTTTGTCTGGGCATTTTAACATGCCATAGTCCCAGCTGCTTAATATTTATACAGGGAGCTTACACTTTGACCTCTGAAAATAATGAATAATTTAAGTTGCATTCTATGCAGCAAGTCCTTCAACAGTATGTCCACTGTTAAAGAATCAACTGACAAAAGATCATCTTTAAATGCTGTGGGTTTTTTTTGTTTTGTTTTGTTTTAAATGAAGACAATGTCTCAATTCATCAACATCTGTACAGGTGGACAGGTCAGGCTGTGTCTCCCACTGACAGTTGCTGGACAGGACTCATCGCTGAAGGCTCAAAACAAAGACAGCCTTTGTGCCTTTTGCTGCTGCTGCTGCTGCTGCTGAGAGCTGAGCAGCAACAAGCGGCTGGGAGAGAAGGGAACAGAGGATGAAGCCGAGCACATAGAACAAGGCTGGGGATGAGGTCTACTGGTCCACTGACCACCCACATATGGCTGCGTGTATGTAAGTGTGAAAATGCTCATTCATGTGTTTGAACTACATGAATCAAGATAATGTAGACAGAATAAAATAGCCAGTGTAATAATAGTAGCTCTTACCTCATTTAAAGCCAGGTAAAAGGTAGAAAATACGATATAATCTCAAAAGAGAAACAAATCTGAGTTTAGATTTGTAGAAACATTGTTGGGTATAGTTGATCGCTTTGTTTGCTAATTTTACATTCAAAGTGCATCACAGAACTCCATAATTGTCATTAAGTCGGAGATAATCTAGTTTACTAATTAGGAGCGTGCCGGTGACTGTCCCAAAGAGGAAATGACAAGGCCAGGCAGCTCTGTGGTGGGGGAGGGGGACATGGTGGCGCTAACTTGAGACACCCAGTGGCTTTAAGAGAAGCTTCAGGTTAGAGGACAGCTTGCAGGACTGCAGTGGAGCCAGACAGATGAGGTCTTCCTGGACTAAACACAGTAGTGTGGGCCGTCACTGGGGGTTAATCACATTAGGACTGTGTGGAGGGAGACAGACTGCCTGGGTTATACACGCCCTTCATCAGACACTTCATGCACTGTTTAACCAAGGCTCAGAGGGTGTAACTGCACACTGCCGGGAGGGTGTGTGCATGCAGCTGTGAGAGCCTCACTGGGATGCACATCTCCAGGGGGGGGTCACTAACCTGCGCCCGGATGAGAGCCTCAAAGCTGGGCTGGAAGTAGTCGATGCGGCTGTGGTAGAACTTGGGCATCTCGTCCAGCAGCTGCTTGTTCTTGGCCTCGAAGTCTTCCTTGACAGGTCGGAGTTCCTCTCTTGCCTGGGTTGAAGGGGAAAGAAAAAGAACAGCTCACCAAGGGCCTCTGTCGGTTCTAAATTTAGAGAGTATCCATCCATTTCACAAATGTATGTGTAATGACAATACACATTAAAGATTTTTCCACAAAAATGTGCACGAGGAGTTACAGATTAAGAGAAAAACAAAGACAAACAAGTTCGTTTTAAGTTAATTCATTACTTGAGCCATCATTAGTGTTCTTTTTCTTATTGTTCAGAAAGATATTTGCCTAATTCCCACGGAGAAGCAGTGCAAAAAAAAGGCTGTAATCACGACCACAGTGAGGAGGAGTGGGTAATGTGGGCAGACTTGGCTGTGAGTGGACTCCAGCACCACTGATCTGTGTGTGAATGTATTAGTGGGTAGTCTACTGTAGGCATGGAGTTATGGAATGCACAATGAATAAGTGTGAGAGGGTGAGAATTTTTATTATGGGGAAGGGGGGAGTTGCTATATTCAAACTGCAACATATTGTTTATCTGCTGCATTATGGTATGTGGTCTGTTCACCTTAGTTACTTTTCTTTACACATGCCAGTTGAAATGCCACACAAGTGTTTTGTCAGGATCATTTCTTTAAGTGCACAGGGAAAGGGCAGGGATGTGGGGGCCTCTTCAAGGCTTTGTTCCCCTGACAGTGCTTTTCTCAATGTGTGTGGGTGGCTCACCATGTGAGGATGTGTTAGAGGCAATAGCATAGGCAACACTGCAGCACTATCTGTGAATGTGTGTGCTTCTGTAGTGGCCTCATCGTGTGTGTATGTGTGTCTACAATTCTCAATTACGTGCCTGTAGATGTGCAGCAGTGCCTTTTTGAAAAGACACTACTTGAGAGCCTGGT